CACCTCATCCTACTCTTGCCCTCCCCAGCTTTTAATTAGGCAGAGTGTTTGGCTTTTTGTAAACTGATTTCTATTTTTAGCTTACATAGTTTTTATCTTTTATGACTGTAAGCCGCCCAGAGTTACCTTGAGGTAAGATGGGCAGCCAATAAATTTTGCAAACAAACAAATAAATAAAAGTGAGTTTTTCTATGGTTTTCCTCTGGGTTTTATGCTTGGGGAGGTTGTTCTTTATATTTTTAAACATTTGAATATTATTTTATGGGCCATATGATATTTTAATCTGTTTCCCACCTTTTACAGAAAGCTAGCCATTATCTACAAATATGCTATTAATATTTACCTTTATAAAGGAGCTTTGAGCCATCCCAAAATAAAGAGTTTGAAAGATGAAGGTAGAAACCCTGATACAGGGCAACATAAACTCACCAAGTCGGAAGAAAGTAATAAATAAGTCATTTGCATTGCTTATACCAGGGGTAGGCAACCTCGGCTCTTTTATGACTCATGGACTTCAACTCCCAGAGTTCCTGAGTATTGGCTTATCCAGGAGTAGGCAACCATGGCTCTTTTATGACTCGTGGACTTCAACTCCCAGAATTCCTGAGCCAGCTATGTTGGCTCAGGAATTCTGGGAGTTGAAGTCCATGAGTCATAAAAGAGCCATGGTTGCCTACCCCTGGCTTATACCACTACTTAATGGCTGGAAAGCGTGCCTTGATTTGATTCATTGTAAATAAGAAATTGATGTGGATTTTAGAAAAGTAAAAGTCAAATGTTGATTCCTTTCATTCTAGGTGATTCCTCAGCCTCTTTGGTTCTCCAGCACCCTTGCAAACCAGAGGAAGTTGAGCGAACTGCCGTTCCATTTACTGCAAGCGGGTCTGCTTGAGGAGCTGCAAAGAGATATTTTGGGTAAGAGTTCCTGATATTTTAAGCCCGAAAGAGCTACACTTCACAAGATTTCCTACACATTGTGCGAATGCCAGTTATGGCCTTGGTAGACCAAACAAGGAATAAATAGCGACACAAGAAAAGAAGGGGTGGTAGTTGGTAAACCCATTTCCTGTTGAGGAAAAAATTTTTTTTTATGTCCCATTATATTTCTTCAGAAGTACCATATCTGAAATACAAAATGCAGCATATTCCAAGAATATACTATAACTAAAAGATGGGGAAGGAGAGATAGGCTAAGCCAGTGGTGGCGAACCTACGGCACGGGTGCCAGAGGCGGCACTCGGAGCCCTCTCTATGGGCACGTGTGCCGTTGCCCCAGCCTTGCCTCCCCCGCGACCCCCTCCTCACCAGCAGCCCCCCTGGAGGAGAGTCGCCCCCGAGTGTGGCCCACGCGGAGCAGCACAGTCAAGGACATGGCAGCCAGGCAGCGTAGACAAGACTCTGCCCTCATGCCCCATCGCGCACAGTTGATGCTGCGGGATGCGGGCAGAGGGCGTGGCTGCCATGGCGCTGCTGGGCTGCCTGGGTGATCTGCGGCGGGCCCTGGAGGCGGTGAGTGGCCCTGCGGGCAGGTGGGCTGGGGGTGGGGCAGGGGGTGGAGCTGGGGCGGGGCCAGTTTTTGGGCACTCAGTCTCTAAAAGGTTCGCCATCACTGGGCTAAGCAGAGGGGAAGGTGGGATTTGTTATTAATGTATTAACTACTTCCAGCATGATGTTCCCTCTTTTAGAGCACCAGGCCAACTTGCAGAAGATCAAGAAGGAGGATAATTATAATGTCCCTAAAGAAGCCCCAGTTTGATCTGAAATGTGTTGGACTGTAGAAAACATTGCTTTTTAACAATAAGTTAAATTGTCTCTGATTCTCAGAGACCGCTTAAACAAGTCCTTGCAGTTTTTTTGGCAAGGTTTCTCAGAAGTGGTTTAGCATTGCCTCCTTCCTAGTGTTCCTTGTTCGGAAAACTGCTAAATAGTTATAAAATAGATCGGCCTGTCTAGATAATTCAGCCCTATTTGAGCATTTTTCATGTAAATGTAATGCTGTTTGACAACAACTTATGAGACTCATTAATCTGATTCACATATCATACTAGCCCACAATTATGGCTTATTGAATAAACTGTGACTGGCTAGTTTCTTACAAACATGTTATTTGTATAATGCAATTTGTCTGGCGTAAGCCTATACAGTTTATGATTTAGCATTTCGTGTGTAACCTAGACATAAGTTATTAAACAAGTCATAAGTAAGTGAAACAGTTATACAATGTGTACACTGAACCACAACCAACCACATTGCTGTACAACTTGGGAGACTACCAGATGGAAGTCTCTTTAGAAGCTGAAAGAAATATTTTCATCAAGGGATATTATTTTCCACCTTGCTTTTGTTTGTTTTCCATTGAAACATCCTAGGATCCTGGCCACACTAGTCAAGGTTTCCTTCATTTCCATACTTCCTTCTATAGGTGTTCCTTGCTCTGGTGACTTTCTTGATGTTCTCATTGTCTGCATGTGCTCCCCACTGTCTTCTTTTCCCATCAGGGAACGTGAACTGGATCATCTGCAGAGCGACTTCCCCTGGTATAGAGAGCTTGACTGCTGACTTTGCCATGTGCCTTGCCCAGATCAGCTGCCCAGAGTTGCATCTCCTGCAAGAGACTCTACTGCTTCTGCAGCCTTTTGTGGATAGCACACAAATCCACGGAGGTAGATAATCATTGCCACCCTTGTAGTTTGGGAATGACTCCCAAGAACCTTGTCCAGTCAATGTCCAGTCTAGCAATAGCAATACCACTTAGACTTACATATCGCTCCATAGTGCTTTACAGCACTCTATGAGCAGTTTACAACGTCAGCGTATGTCCCCCAACAATTTGGCTCCTCGTTTACCAGCCTCAGGAGGATGGAAGGCTAAATTAACCTTGAGCCAGTCAGGATCGAACTCCTGGCTATGGGCAGAGTTTGCCTGCAATACTGCATTCTAACCACTCCACCATCATGGTTCCTAGTCTAGTCAAGAACGCTGCCAACTGCAGTGCAGGGAAAATCAGTTCTTATAGGATAATAAGATGCAATGGGAAATGTTTTTCTTTTTGGTGTCTGACATTTCCAAACTTCCCCCTTCTCTTGATTTAAGGAAGATGTTTTCCTCCCAGTTTTATTGCTTTGTTCCTTCCTTTTGGTTCCCGAAGAAAAACAGGTGCAGGGAATATCCAGAGCTCCATTATCTCTAGTAATTTGAGATCCTTTACCTGTATGCTTACAGCAGCTGTGACTAATGCATAGTCTTTTCTGCCTTCCAAGATATATAAATAAGAGTGTATCCTTTTGTTGGATGGGGTCTCTCTCAATAATGCTGTCTAATAATCATTGCAGTAAGCCTTGATTATTTGTTTTGCGTCCTACACTTGATTCCATATCAGTCAGTTTATTTAAATGGATGTGGTTAGCCTTTGTGTTGAAATTAATAAATGCAGAGTCCAACATCCAATAAACTTCCAATATCTAAGGGGCTGCCACAAAGAAGAGGGAGGGTGTCAAATCTATTCTCCGGAGAACCTGAAGGCACGACAACAAGCAATGGATGGAAAATAATCAAGGAGAGAACTAACCTAGAAATAAGGAGAAATTTCCCAGCAGTGAGGACAATCAATCAGTGGAACAGATTGCCTCTGGAAGTTGTGGGTGCTCCATCACTGGAGGTTTTTAAAAAGAGATTGGAAAACCATTTGTCTGAAATTGTATAAGATCTCCTGGTTGAGCAGGAGGTTGGACTAGAAGACCTCCAAAGTCCCTTCCAACTCTGTTATTTGTTTAATGTTCCTCATGCCAAATCAATGAACTACCATTGATCTGGTTGAGGAAAGGATCCATAGTTCTGTTCACTCATATCTACCACTCCAGCCCTCGTCTTTATTCTTGGATCATTGCCACTAATATAATTTGAATCCCACCATTGAGGTGGGCTAGGCTTTCACTAAATTCTGAATCTCTTTTTTAGCTAACAGAACACAAATAGAAGATGGTTCCACATCTCCTATCTTTGTCCTTCTGCAGAAGTGAGTATGATCTACACGGAGATGTTGTCACGGCTGTTTTTCCTCAGGCCATCTTACCCTAAGATCATTGGGAATGTATGTGAGCAGTGTGAGAGCTGGTTTGGTGTTTGGCCCCATCCTGTCCTCATCCCTCGCTCTGGATTTTTCCATCCACCTGGAGGACCTCTGTGCAAAACGCTGCCTGAATTCCCTAAAGGTAGAATAGTCTGTTTGCCTAACAAGTCATAATTACTATTCCTCCCTCCCACTTCATCATAGAAAAAAGCATTGTGTAGCTAACTCTTTGTGTGTGTGGGGGAGGGGCTTATGGATGCCCACTTAAATCCTCCAAATGTCTTGATTGGAGTGGAGAAACCTTTGAATACTAAAGTTCCATGAAGCTCACTGGATGATCTTGGATCCATCCACTTTCCACCCAATCTAAGAACTGTTATGGGGCAGCATGTGGGAAAAGTTATAGGAGGGTGGATATTATCACAGGGCAAGGAAACATGCAGGGTGTCAGATTAAATCCCAAGCAGGCTATGGAGATTCTCAATCATCCAGGTCATGGTTGTCCCAAAGGTACTTTTCCAAAAGACAACTGGACTTTCTTGATTTTTTTTTTTTTTTGAGAACATTTCGCTTCTCATCCAAGAAGCTTCTCATCCAAGTTCTGAAGAAGCTTCTTGGATGAGAAGCTAAACATTTTTAAGGTTAAAAAACCAGACCGTCCAGTTGCCTTGGGACACTCAAGTAGACTGTTCACCTTCTGAAAGTCAAAAAAAGGACCAGACATTCCACTTGAATCAAACCCTATCTGCCACATTAATTCCTCAAATCTCTCCCCCCCCCCTTTCTCCTTGCAGGCATTTCAATCCTAGAATTCAACCTTGACCCAAAGTTGCTTCTAGCTGGTTCTCTGGCTGGTTCTCTGATCATATGGGACATGGAAGATTTTACTGTGCGACATGTCCTAACAGGACACTCTGGTGAGTCACCAAAAGGCTATTTTTACAGCCAACCTCCATCAGGGGCTCTAGTTGATCCCAGTTATGACAGCACAGAAAGCAGATCAGAGTTATTTATGTGAACTAGCTGTAAACACTTTGAGAGTAATCTCAGTGGCTGGGTTCAATTCACACATTAGGCTAGGCTTCTCAATCATCCAGGTCATGGTTGTCCCAAAGCTGCTTTTCCAAAGACAACTGGACTTTCAGTTCAGTTCAGAATTGAAGACGTTTCTTGGATGTGAAGCGAAATGTGACATGTGATATTGGTACACATTGTTAGCCACAGGGCAAAGTTAATTCAGCTGGTAACTCCCTAAGGCTATCCATTGAAGAAGAAAAGACTAAAGTTTCTGTCTTGGGCATTTCTGCCCAAAAGAACGCTGTTCTAAATTTCTCCTTTGAAGTTCTGAAACTCTTGAGGTGGTTTTCAAGACCCATCAGAGCATTAATTTATATGAATGTTTAATCCCAAATCTGATATGCCTGAGTGAATCACATTGCTGCAGATAAATAAAACTCTGGGGTCCATTGTCCATGCCTTCTTTCTGTCTGCTACTCAGTATACTGGAATAGGAAATATTGCTATGAATTGTTTGTTACAGTCCCATTTTTCTTCTACCAACTAAGCCACAGGCTATTAGGTTAGTTAGGGAACAGGAGTGTCTATAGATCGAGGGGTTAAAAAAAGGCAAGGTGGCAATCACAACCACATGACTGAAGCCACAATTTTGATTTCAAACTACAAGGACCTGTAACTACAAGGATACAAGTTGTTTATCTTGATCTATAATCAGATTTGTGAGCATACTGGCTTACATCCTCTTTTGAGGATCTTCCTTCCCCTATCTTTTCTCTTTTGCAGCTGAAGTGAAATGTGTGAAATTATTTGGGAAGGGGTCCCGTGCTGCCTCGGTGGCCATGGATCGGACATTGCGCTTGTGGTGTCTGGATTCTGCCAGGGAGGAATTCTCTATCCACAATGTTCACCCTGGAGAGCTGAGGTGTTGCCAGCTGCACATTGATGAAAAGAATCAGATGATATACTGGGCATCAGGTTTAGAGGTATGGAACCCACCATGCATGTGGAGGGGAGGGGGCAGCTAAACAATGAAGCAGGTGCAAAACATGGGCAGGGGTCTTCAGAGCAGAGAGCAAGGGAGTAATGAAAAATATATTGAGAATTTTGTAAGGCTTCCTCTGATCTTTTTTTTTTTATTATTGAAAATTTTATAAAATTTTACTATATAAATCCCCCCTTCCCCTTCCCCCCCTCCCTCCCCCCTCACTTCCCAGTGCCAATCATAAGGTTAACAATAACATAATCATACTCTAATTAACATTAATCAACTATTAAAATAACATATCTATAACCTCCTTTAACTCTCTTTTAAACAGTACAATTATTAAAAACAATAATAATAACAACACTTAATAATTAGAAATAATAGTAAATAAAATATTCTAACCTTTGCACAACAATAATACTCTAAAATTTACTCAAAAACCAGATGATATTTTTTAGTCCCATATTTACACTTAAAGGCTTCCTCTGATCTTGTTGGATACTCTGGGTAACCTGGAAGAGGAATTACTCTGGAGAATCAGGATCATGAAGAGAAGCCAAATTCAGGAGCTAAATTCTGGTTGCGCCTTCAGAAAGTTATTGAAAGAGAGAAGAAAGAAAGAAATCTATGTGAGATTCTCAGGAACAAATGCACAATCTCTGCATTGGCATTAACAAGCCTCCAAGAGTATTATTTGGATGATAGAGGGAGTAGGGAAAGACTGACCCTCCAGAGTCCAGATGGAAACAGCACCCATCATTTTTAACCATAGATCATTATATCTGGGAATGATAGGAGTTGGAGTCTAAGACACTCTGGAGAAGCATGGGTTAACTTTGCTGTGTGGACAAAATTGAATTTGGGAACCAACAATACACATCTATGTGTCCACCTCTGCAGTTAAAGACAGAAATTGATCTTCTACCAGATTATTAGTTCACTTCTTAGCAGATTTCCTGGGACTGCTGCTCAAACTTCTTAAGTTTAATGTATCTCCTTAAGTTTAGAGATGATAAAGAAGAGCTGTTTGCTCTCTATTCATAGGGTAGGGAAAGTGCTTTAGAGAGAAGAGGGTAAAAATGGAAGAAGAGCTTGAACGGGTTTTTCCTCCTGCTCCAGGTCAGCGCTTGGCATCTGGAGACAGCTGTACCCATTTTCCAGATCTGTGCTGAGCCTCCAGACCAGTGGCTCTGTGGAACTGTGTTTGTACCAAGGCTGGTGGTTGTGACGGTATCTGAACGGGGTGTCTTCTGCCTGTGGGACAGCATCAGCGGACAGCTACACTCCAAGCAGGAACTGATAGGGCTGGAAGAAGAGACACCAACATGCAGTGTATTGCTCCACACGCTGGGCAGGATGGTGGCCGGCTTCAGCAAGGGCTCCCTCTTGATGGTGCTTGTTCTTCTGCCATGTCTCTTCTTGGGGAAAGGGAACGTGGGTCACCCAAGAGATATCTTTGGATGCGGGAACAGTGGGCTGCCCCAGTGTTTTGGTTTTCTTGCAGATGCCTTGGGAAATCTTATTTCAGGTTTCAGCAGCTTTTTGGTGTTAGGGCCTTACAGGTAGTTTTCAACTTACAACTATTCATTTAGTGACCATTTGAATTTACAATGCCCCCCCCAAAGGTAACTTACAACAGGCTCTTGCACTTACAACCATCTCAGCATCCCGATTACATGATCAAAATTCAGGAGCTTGACAACTGACATGTATTTATGATGGTTGCAGCATCCCAGGGTCACGTAATCACCATTTGTAACCTTCTCAGCTAGCTTCCAACAAGCAAAGTCGATTGGGGAACCAGATTCACTTAGCAACCACAGTGATTCACTTAACAACTGTGGCAAAAAAAAGGTCCATCCCTGTCCTACAACTCCTCAGATTTTTAAGCAGCATTGTCCTGGCCCTCCTGGGGGGGGGAGATAATAACGACTGGATTTAGAACAGTGGTCACCAACCTTTCCGGCTTTGTGGACCACCAGTGGCAGCCGGGAGGGGGGAGATAGGATGGTTGTGTGTGAGCAGTGGGCAAGTGCTCATGCAGCTTCATTTGCATGAGCTCGCACAAATGGAGCTTCGCGTGTGCATGAGCTCACCCGCCACTCGCGCAAGTGGAGCTGCATGTGACCGCACTCGCCCACCCCTTGCACAGCCCAGTTCTGAATGGGCCGTGGTCCTCTACCAGCTCATAGCCTGGGGGTGGGGACTTCTTATTTAGAGTATATAGAACATCTTATTTCCACAGTTAAAACTCTTCCTTTTCTCCCACCCTATCCTTATATCCAAGAAAGAGGATGGGATCTTTTATTATTCAATCAACCACCTCCCTGGTGCCTCTCTTGACAGATCTCTTCTGATGGACATAGCCTCCTGGAAAAGCTCCCAGGAAGGATCAGCTTTGTGGTGCTTTCAAAAGATGAATCTCTCCTGGCAACAGGTTTGAGTGAATTTCCTGCTCACTTACCCTATATTGGTTAATAATGTTATTTAATAGCTATATCATATCAACAAAGTAGTGGCGGAGGCTAATGCTGATCTTCTAATCTCTGTAAGTCCAAGAAGGTTGGCTTTAATCACTTGACATTTGGCAAAAACTACCAAACTTTTTTTGCCAGTGGGCACATTTGTAGTTTTCAGCATACAGTATGTTGTCGTAGTTGTTATTATTACTTAAATCTGCCTGTTACCAAAGCATACAGACTTCTTATGGTTTACAAAAGATAAAATGCAATGTTGGGATGTTCTTACAAAATGATTTCTACAATGGCTGCAGTTAACCATAAAATATCCATTCACCAGAAAGGTCCCTCCATGGTCTCTCATCATCCCCTCCCAGATGCCTTCTATATTCTAGTTACCTTTCTGTCTGATTTTTGTTTTTAGCAGTTTAGCACCCAAACTGTGCATCTGTGTTGAGACTGGAGGTATTCTGATAAATCAAGACAGTGCTACATGCTGGTACTTTGCCTTATGCCAGTTTCCCATTTAATTTTGTAAATAAGAAGTGGGGGGAGTTAGGGATGAATTAAGGAGGGCATTGGGCATAGCCCTGTCATAGTCTACTTCCAAGACATAGCTTGTATGCACATAAAGCTCTCTCTTATATCCAAAAAAATAAAAAATAAAAAACCACCACACTCCCAAAACTATGATTCTGGCTATTGTCTTGGCAGGAGTGGCAGGTATCTATTGTCTTGGCAGGAATGTGTGTCAATTTGGATGCATAAGCCATGGTTCAGTTGTGTTATTTGCCAATGCAATGAGCTTTTCATACACAAGAGTGCCAGAGCAGAACCCGACATGTGAGTTATTGCTCATTTCTTACATGACCTATACTTGCAAGCCTTTCATGATGCTACCATCATGCTTGCATCATTATTTTAACATCATTGCATTTATTATGGATGCTGCTATCTCATTTTGTACACTGCACTGTTCCAGGTGTTGGGCACCGTGTAAGAGTTTTTCTAGGCAATGTGACAGGATTCCATCAACTCCTGGCCTCAGATTTGCTGCATTCTGCTGAGGTTTGTGCAGCTGCTATTTCAACAGACAATAGCACCATCGTCACAAGCTCCCAGGATGAATGCATATGGGTAAGAGGCATAGGATAATGTTGCAAAACAGGTGGGTTTCACGTGTGACTAAGGCAAGGGCATTTGATGATGGGGGGAGGGGGCGAAAGAAAGGAAACAAGTCAAATTGGTCACTGTATAGTTAAAGCTACATATGTCACACACATGATGCATGTAAAAAGGGCTGAAGTTTCAATCATATAATCCCAGCTGTGGGGGGGATTAGCTTAGTTGATTAGTTTAGGAATTGTGAGAAGAATTTTCCCTGGTTCCCTTCAGCTCAGACAGAAGAATTGACACAAAATGAAGCTAGCTAGTCCAGAAAACATTGCTGTGTCACAAATTGTTGAAGGAAAAGTCTTCATCAGACTTATTAGGACAGTTTTCATAGCTCAAAGGGATAGAAAATTATTTTACTACTTGTCAGCAGTTAGAGATGAGGGAAGATTTAGGGGCTACAAAGAAAGCTGGCTAGGAAGTCACATGTTCTAGAACAGAGTTCCTCAATCTTGGCAACTTTAAGACATGTGGACTTCAATTCCCAAAATCCCCCAGCCAACAGTTGAAGTCCACATGTCTTAAAATCGCCAAGTTTGCTGCACCAGAGCAGGTGTCCCCAATCCGCAGCGTACCAGAAACCAGGCCGTGCAAACAAGTAAAGCACCATCTGTGAGATGAGGCAGTACGCAAAACCACGCCCTCTCCAGTCCATGGAAAAACCTGTTGTGATTCCTCACCAGCCAGTGGATCTGGCAGCTGAGTCTGAGGAATCAGAGGAGGAAGAGGAGGGGCCTAGAGTGACATCAGAGTCAGAGGAAGGCTCTGAGGAGCTCCAAGACTTACAGTCGTACGAGAAGCCTGGCCCCTCTACTCGCGCTCAGGCTGAGACACAGCTGTGCTGGGAGTCTGAGTTGGACAGTGATGAATCACAGCTGGGAGATATCCAGGATGCATGAAAACACTGGCAAGAGAGGCCAGAGGAATACAATGGGGCGGCTCCAAAGGCAAAGGAGAAGGCATTAAGAAGCCACGCCTTGGCTGCATAATAAAAGGGAAGGTGTGGGAGGTGCTGGTTGCCAAAGGCAACTGTTCGTGTTGAGGATCGAGTTTCTGTGAACTGTATTTGTTTGACTTGGACATTGACTCAGGTCTGTGAATAATAAAAGGGGATTGGTTTTTTCCTGCGGTTCCAGCCTGCTTGTTGAAAGAGGAGTTTCTCCTTGTGAGCTTAACAAGGACTCACGCAGGCTGGGACAGAACAAAACCTTTCTCCACAGAACTGGTCCCTGGTGCCCAAAAGGTTTGGGGCTGCTGCTCTAGAGGACAGGTTATTTATCACCACTATAGAAGTATTTTTCTTTTAATTGGGAAGAACTTTTAAATAAATGCATAGGATCGTACCAAGTACAGCTATGAAGTTTTACTACTCATGGACTTTACAGAGAATTTTTCTAGCATCTGAGACCCAAATCTTTATATCTGGTTCTTTGGCTCATAAACCTGTTTGTCTCAATGAGCCCCACCATGCAATGAAATTGTCTCCTTCCTTAGTATGCTTCTTCTTCTACCTAGGTCTGGTGTCTAGCGAAACAGGGTTTGCTGACAGATGTTTTGACCGATACAGGGATGCCTTCTACACACCTGGCTCTCTGGGATGTCACGCTGGTGTCAGCCTCTTGCCACGCACCTTATCTCAGAATCTGGGACCTTAGCTGTGATCGCAAGCACAAACTACTCCCACCTTGTATGGCAAGCAAGCGTTGCATTGGGCTTTCCCACAATGCCAAATACATTTATTTTCCCCAAGCTTACTGCAGCTCTAATGTTGTCATTTGGGATACAGAGGCAGGTAAGTGATACACCTGCCCAAAAGTTTAGCAGAGAAATTTTGGGTCAAATGCTCCAGAACAGAAGGAGGCAATTGGAGTTTGGAGAGCATGTCAGGGACATCCTTGCAAAATAGCTGTAATAGAGAGTCTCACCCATTCACAAAGTGACTTGCCAGAAAGCAGACTGATTTAGATGCAATCTCCAAGGACTATGTCTCTCCCTTTCCACTATTGGCAATGTCATAGTTTAAATTGATGGGATAATGGAGCACATCCACCTACCAGACTGAGCCAGAAGGACAGAGACAATTGCAGATAGCCCTGTAACTGTAGATATGGCCCCTCTGATAGCAAGAGCACTTAGACTTATAAACCACTTCATAGTGCTTTACAACCCTCTTTAAGCAGTTTACAGAGTCAGCATAATGCCCCCAACAATATGGATCCTCATTTTACTGACCTCGGAAGGATGGAAGGCTGAGTCAACTGTAAACTGGTCGGGATTGAACTCCTGGCAGTGGGAATGCAGAGTTAGTCTGCAGTACTGCATTCTAACCACTGTGCCACCATGGCTCTGATAGCAAGACCCCCTATCTTCCATAGATAATAATTCACCAGTTTTTCTTTTCTTTCTGAGAATGCTATGCTGCCTATGCAAGGCTCAGAAGCATTATTGGACATAAAATTGATGGGGAGATTGCAACTTTTCTTTCCATCCATCCATCTGTTTATTTTAAATTAAGGAACACTATAGAACTTGGGAGGATGGATTACAACCTGGCATTCAAACAAGGATTGGGGAGACTAAGAAAAGGAAGAAGGGGCCATGCCTGTTCCTGCTCTGCCACTGATGTAGCTTAATTTCATTTATTTGTTAAACTATTTATTTATTTGTGCAATTTGTCCACTCCCTCGTTGCTCATGAGCTTTGTGGAGTTTATGGATTTTAAAAGATCTCTAAGAATAAAAATACATTTGAAAACATCAGCAATAAAAATAACAATATCCCAATACTGAACAATGAGAAAAATATGCACTTCTATACACACATATGTGCACACAGGCAGGTGCTTTTCTCTCTCCCATCCTCCATATTCCTGTAGAATAGATTTGAAGCATGAGGGGTTTTTTCTTCCTCTGTGATTCTTTCCACGAGGACCTAAGAATTTAATCTAATTCATCATTTTGTCCACGGACTAACTAGCTCAGTGGTTCTCAACCTGTGGGTCGGGACCCCATTTGGGGTCGATCGACCATTTCATGGGGGTCACCAAGCAAGGCTGTCCGCCATTTTTTTTGTCCGTCATTTTTTTTGTCCGCCATTTTTTTCCCCCTTTTCCGGCGGGTGCCTTACCTCCCTTGGGCTGGGCCAGCTGGTGGTCGGCTTGCTCCGTCTCTGCAGCTTGCCAGCTACGCCTCGCCCGGCGCAGGGGGCGGAACCATGCATGCGCGGCGCTCCCAGGCAGGGAAAGTCCTCGACTTGTGACCGGTTGGGTAGTCCTCGACTTACGACCGGTTTAGTCCTCGACTTACGACCAGTTTAGTCCTCAACTTACGACCGGTTGGGGTCGCGGCATTAAAAAGGTTGAGAACCACTGAACTAGCTGCTGTTAAAAAACTGGTTATTTGGGCAATAGTACTGCCTGCCTTGTGTTTCCCAGAAAACGGCATTGAGATAATGTCTTGAAACTAATCAAGGAGAGAACCAACCTAGAACTAAAGAAAATTTCTCTGACAGTTAGAACAATGAATCAGTGGAACCGCTTGCCTCCAGAAGTCGTGGGTGCTCCAACACTGGAGGTTTTTAAGAAGAGACTGGATAGTCATTTGTCTGAAATGGTATAGGGTTTCCTGCCTGAGAAGAGGGTTGGACTAGAAGACCTCTAAGGTCCCTTCCAACTCTGTTATTCTGTTATTCCAATGTAGAAAGAGAAATGGCTAGCAGAATTATACTCAGCCATGATAGTCTTCTTCATGAACTTGTTGGCTCCCTTTTAAAGCCATCCAAACTGGCAGTGAACATTGTAACTTAATCGTATGTGGGTGAAGAGGTATTTTTTTGCCACCATTCCCAGTTCCATCCTCATTTGGCTTGCTTTGTATCTGGGAGAAAATGGAGCATCCTTGGTTGTTGGTCACTGCTGGAGGATGCAGCAGTTGGGCATCAATTCCAGTAGCCCCAATACAAGTGATCCTCCTCAACTTATATCCATTTCTTCAGCGACCATTCAAAATCAGAACAGCAGTGAAAAAAATGACTTACAACCCATCCTCACATTTATGCAGGCAGTCCTCAACTTACAACCATTTGTTTAGTGACTACTCAAAGTTATAATAGCACTGAAAATAGTGACTTATGACTGGTTATCACACTTACAACCATTGCGGCATCCCCATGGTCAGGTGGTTAAAATTTGGGTGTTTGCCAACCAACACGTATTTACAAAGGTTGCAGTATAATGGGGGGGGGGGGTCATACCATCACCATTTGGCACCTTGCCAGCTGGCTTCTTGCAAACAAAGCCAGTGGGGGAAGCTGAATTCTCTTAATGATCGCATGAGTCACTTAACAACTGCAGTGATTTTCTTAACAACTGCAGCAAAAAATGGTTGTAAAATCAGACACTACTTGCTTTACAATTGCTTTACTTAGCCATAGAAATTCCGGTCCCAGCTGTGGTCGTAAGGAGTACCTATAACAGGAGGGATCAGCAGTGCTTGCTGAGGTCAGAACCCAATTGTTGGGAGGGGGTGATTTCCTTATTCTCTGTTCCTGTGGGTTCTGCCGTACTCCTGGGGGGAGGGGGGAAGCTATTTATAATTTATATTTATAATTTAATTACATAGGGCGGGAAGAGGAGTGGCCTGAGTCCCGCCGATTGTCGGAATATTTTGTTGTCATGTTATTTATAGGTATAATTTTGGTTTAATTTTCTTTTATAAGCATTTCCGGTTAGCAATTTTAATGGGAATTTTAATGGGAATTTTTGGGGTGATTTTAAGGGATCCGGTTTGGGCGAACAAGAAAAAGCCATGTCTTGGGAGCCACAATGTATCCTCTCCGCTTTCCTCTATCTGCCTGCTTTTTGATCTATTTCCCTTGATGCCAGCCTGCGGTGAGAATGGAATGTGCCTCCGGCTATCTGTCTTATCTCTAGCTGCCCAAGAACAGGTGCAAAGACCTAACAGCCTAAAAGCCTTGGGAATGGTGTCTTACCAACCCAATTCCCACAGCAGATTCACACCTGGGGATTGGCTCATTTGAACTGACCAGATGGACTATTGGGGGAGAGGGGTTGCTAGTTGCTCTTTTAACCTATTGATTCGCGCGGGGAACTCTCAGATCCTGCCTTCTATGCCTGCTGTTAACTTCTCCTAATAAAAGTTCCTTTTGGAATGAAGCTGTTCTAGGAGTTCTGCTTTCTTGGGAAGAGGGATTTGAGGCAGGTCTTACAGCTGACATTTGTCTCCCATCAGGAAAGGAGCATGATAAATTGGATGCATCGGCTCCAGTCCAGTGTCTGGAAGTGGCTGAGCAGAAGAATCTTCTCTTTGTTGGACTGGTTTCTGGAACAGTGCTGGTATTTCCCTTGGATTCCAGGCAAGATGTTGGTTGCATCCCTCCAGCAGAGAACCGAAAGCCTATCTGCAACCTGGCACTCACTCAGAATGAAGATCAGCTGGCAGTTGCCTGTGATGATCTTGTGCAGGTATTGGATCTGCATCAGGAAGAACAGGGTCTCTTGATTGACCGGCCGGCTTACACCTTTTACACCCAGATCCCTGGAGCAACAATTTCTAGTGTGGCTCTTCTGTCTGGATACCGAGTGCTCTATGGAATGACCAATGGGGAGCTCTTCACGTACTACTGCTTGGAGGCGCACGTGTTCCCACTAGAAGCTCATGGGAACTGCATTACCTGCCTGAAGACCAGCCATGGAGAGAAATGGCTGCTGAGTGGTTCAGAAGATTCACTGCTGTGTCTCTGGGATGTTCAGCTCTGCTCCTGGGAGCACCAGATGTTTTTCCAGAAGGTAGGATTTCTGCTCTTGCAGAAAGTTGATACGTCCAATTAGAATGTAGAACTGGTATTAGAGTAGAGATGGAAGGCGAACCTAAGGGAGCAGAGGAGCATTAACATTAGAAAACCTCAGAACAGCTGCCATGATGGGGAATTAAAACATGAACATTTCCTCAAATCTCAATCTCAGTACATGAAACTTGTTGCAGTAATTGGCAGCCCTTAGCCAATTCAGAAAAAGCTAAACAGAATCAGATCTAGTTAATACTTGCCTGGGAGGGTCTTAGATAAGGATATTAATATATATATATAAAACCTCTAGAAGAAGGAAATTGCAAATCTCATCTGTATTATGACAAGCAAGCAACTTTGTATTTATGTTGTCACGAGAAATTAAGTGTGATTGAGGGAGAGCTTACTATTAAATTGACCTGAGCACCCTCTTTATTTAGATATATTCTCCTGCCCATTATTCATAATTTTTATTCTAAAGATAACTAGCTTCCAGAAAAGAGGTGGGTTAGCTATGGCTACAGTTTGTTTCTGTGGTCCATAGAGGACTTGGGCAGAATCCACTTTAAAGGCAAATACTACTGGGAATAGGTAGTGGCACAGATATCCAGCTTTCGAGCAATTAAGAGGTGGATAATCTAATCCAAATCTGACTGCATTGAAAAGAAATTCTAGAAAAATTTAATTTTTAATCAGTCCAACAGTGGCTTTTATGTTTATCTCCAGAGACTCACCTGGAGTCTCTGTCTCCTGTTTGCCCTCCTGCTGATCCGTGTCTTGCATGTTGTTTTCCTGTTGAATTGGATTACTTTTCTGAAACACTGTTTGTTTGTTTGTTTGTTCCTTCCTTCCCAGCAAGATTCCTTTTCCCATGGCATTATCTGTGCATGCTTTTCAAAGGATGACCAGTACTTGTTCACCAGCTCTTTGGATCAGTGTGTTACAGTGTGGGATGTCTCACGGGGTAAGAAATTTGTTATTTTTAGGAACCTGTAACTTTGGGCACTGTTACCTTATATGGTAGCAGTCTCAAAGCAAAGCTTGTCATAAAGTTGGGGGAATAAACAAAGGTGTTTTCCCCTCCTTCAAATGTGTGGTAGGATGTTGAAGCAGGTGTGTGGGGGGGGGGGCAGGGTAAAGAAATTCAAGATACTAGTAGCTCCAACCTTGTGATTGAAGCTGCTATCTCGATCCCTCCTGCTGACAAGCTGTGGGATGGAAAAAATGTTTGAATGTAATTTGAGTTCCTTGTTGTGACATATGGCATGTTCCAATTTTCCACAGGGGCCCTCTTAGCAGTTCAGTTTGTGCATGCAAAAATTACCAGAATGGTGTCAACAGGTGAAGGCTTTGTTGCAACAACACAAGTTGGCTACCTCATGCGGGAGAGATTCCGCTGCCCACAGGTCATCAACTCTCACCCTGATCTGCTCAGCAGTGTTAAAGCAACGTACACAGTGAAATCTCAGCCAAAAGAGAGACAGGATCCAGGAGAGATTCGGGGAAATCTAAGGAACGCTCAAAGTGTCACCAACAAGCTGTCACAGATTTGTAGGATTGTGTGACGTACCGACAAAGAGCGACAAAGAATGACTTGAATATCTACCTTGTCATTCATCTACAAGTGAACTTCACTCAGTTGTTTCCTCACTTCCTTAGAGTATTTATTATTCTGCCTTTACTATTGTTTATAAATAACTCAAGGCAGCAAACATAGCTAATATTCCTCCCTCCTCCTATTTTCCCCACAACAACCACCCTATGAGGTGGGTTGGGCTGAGAGAGAGTGACTGGCTCAAAGTCACCAAGGTTTTTCAAGCCTAGGGAAGGATTAGAACTCACGGTCTCCTGGTTCCTAGGCCAGCACCTTAACCACTAGTCCGTACTGGCTCTTCTTATTTCCTTATTATCACTGAACCCTGAGTTCTAGAAAAGAATGACTACCTAATGTAGGAGACAGCAACCTTTTAAGGCTTGAAGGCTGCACTTAACATTTGGTGGAGCTTACATAATGCAAAGTGATAGTCTTATCTTTTTTTCCTGCTGGGATTTGAAAGTATTGTATGAGTTTACTAGAAGAATAAGGGTATCCCTACAATGGAGGAGTAGAGTGTGAAAATGTCAGAATTATCAGGAATGGCAAAAATGACCTGTTTGGTCAAAGAAAACAACAACAACAAAAACTTTTATGAAAGACTGGAAACCTTATATGGGCTTTTTGCTGAAAAAAGAAATACATGACATGATGATTTATGGATTTCAAGATGAAGAAAGATGTGAATTAAAAGAAGGACTTGTGCAATATCTAAAATGGAGGAGGGGCAATAAGATTGTAATTATCTATTGAAGATTAGAGGTCATTTATATATCTTTTAATTTGACTTTCTCTTTTGCAGTTTTTTTTCTCTTTAGTTTCTTTTTATTCTATGGGGAAAATCATAATATTAAATAAAATAAAGAAGTATGAATTTATAAGATTTGTTTTTTCTTAGCAAGCAAGCCTATTTTAAGTTTTCATTACAAATGTTTTGGGCTCCTTACCGCAAGACAGCAGGAAACAGGACTACTGGTTTTCAGCAATGGTACCATAGGAGGCCATCCTAGGTGCTGCAGGAAAAATTAGAGCTGATTGGTTCTATGTATCCCAGACTGCCTAACTCCATCCATGTTGGATATTCATGAATAGCTCTGATCATTTCTTTCTTAAGGCAGGTAGCTGAATGTTTGAAAACTCATCAGGATTATATGTGTACAAAATTATTTCATAATCACTGGATTTTTCCCCCCAATGAATGCTGTCTTCTAATTAAGGAAAATGATGGAGTACAAGAGCAGCGTACGAATGAAAATGTTGCAGAACACAAAATGGGTTTAAAATGCATATGTATTTGTAAATAAACCAAATATTACAAAATAAGTGTATATTCCCCATTCTTTTTACAAAGGAACAAAGACCTCTAGAATTTCTATCTCAAATGTTTGCTAAATTGTAAAGCTGCATTAGTCCTCCACTTACAACCACAATGGGCACCAGAATTTCTATTGCTAAACAAGGCAGTTGTTAAGTGAGTTGTGCCTGATTTTCTGACCTTTTTTGCTCTGGTATTTAAGCAAATCAATCCACTTGTTAAGTGAATCCTGCAGTCGTGAAGTGAATCCAGCTTCCCCCACTGACTTTGCTTGTTGGAAGTCAAATGGGAAGATCGCGAATGGGGGACCACACTGCAACCTTCGTAAATACATGTATGCATGTAAGTCAAGGACTATATGTATTATGTAGAGTTGTTCACAACACACAAGCTCTTATCACTCTGCATACAATAAAATTGTTTCTTCATGAATAATCAATTCCCAATTTCAGGGTGGAAATACTGGTTTCATCAAATTTATGTTAAAATTCTCTGATCAGTTATGTATGATGTAAAACTGGCTTACCCAATACAGGTAGTCCTCAATTTGCAACCATTCATTTAGTGACCATTCAAAGTTATAATGGCATTGAAAAAAGTGACTTACAATTGGTCCTGACACTTACAACTGTTGCAGCATCCCCATGGTCATATGATCAAAATTCAGGTGTTTGGCAACCTGCATGTGTTTATGATGCTTTTAGTGTCTTAGTGTCGTGATCACCAACTGCAAGCTTTCCAGACAACTTCTGATAAGCAAAGTCAATGGGGGAAGCTGCATTTGTTTAACAACTATGTGATTCACTAAACAACTGCAGTGATTTACTTAATAACCATGGGAAAAAGTTTGTAATATTGGATGCAAGTCATTTAGCAACTGCCTTGTTTAGCAATGGAAATTCTGGTCCCAATTGTGGTCATATATTGAGAACTACATGTAAAAGCTCTGAAATATCCTATCCAAACCTTGATATACTTTCCAATTTGTTCCTGAATCTATCCCTAATGTTAAGCCAGTCTTGGTAGGGATGGGAGGAGCTATGTCTGATGAATGTGGACAATCTGTACGTATCTCTTCTAGTCTGGAGGCCCTGCATTTCAAGCTAAAGAGCTACTTTACATCCTACAACTCGCCAGGGCCCGTTGCCTTGGCAGAGTGAGGAAAATTCTCAGGGATGACTCACACCCTGGTTGGTACCTCTTTACTCTCCTACCATCGGGTAGGAGATACAGAAACATAGCCAGCCATACCAACAGGCTGAAGAACAGCTTTCATCCATGGGCTGTCAGGCTCTTGAATGGGACATAATTTCATGCATGACAGACTCATGAGGCCGGCGTGCTGTGCAATCAGCTCACAGGGTGTAATAAGTTGGGGGTTTGTAGTCACTGTGAGTTGTGGGGGGGGCACAGAGGGAGGCTCAGCCAATCTCACTGTATACGTGTTATACTTTGATAATAAAGGTTTGTTCATTCTTTCCCTTAAATAATTTATTTTAATAATAAGCTGTAAAAATGTACATAAATGCACAAGTGTAAAGCAGAACCTAATCTGCTTTTGGAACACAACTGCAATCATCTAATTATATATAACGTTGCTCAATCCCAGCATCTTTAAGATATGTGGACTTCAATTCCCAGAATTCCCCAGCCTGCAATTCTGGGAGTTGAAGTCCACACATCTTAAAACTGCCAAGGTTGAAAAACAATTATATAGATTATTATAGAAGCAGCATCACGCCATGATAAAACAACTCCCATCCCTTTTGTATGTAAGTGAAAAGTCACAATATCTGGGCAAAGGGGCAGAATTTGAGATGCAAAGCTGCTTTTAGTCAGGTGACCTCCACCTTCCCCACCCCCTTCCCTTGAACCATTCCCACCCACCTGTCAATTGTTAGGGTGCTTCCGATCCACTCATGCAAAACAGTCATTCAAATCCTGGGGCAAGTTCGTCCTCCTTAACCTTGCTTTGCCTCTCCTACAGTTAGACCCACCAGCTGATTTTGACAAGCAACAGTGGAGGGAAACCATGCTGAGAGAATCCACCATTCCCTTGTTTTTCTTGCAGTCAACAAAAGCGCCGCCATTGGATGGCATCGTGCCTGCGGCAGGATAGGGCGCAGCAATCGTGCGGGCAATTTTAGGCAGTGTCCATTTTCTGCGGTTTAAAAATGGGCGGATAGTACTTTATTAAATGACCCTGGGCGACGAATGCCAATTCTGCAATGTTAACTCTTTGCGCGCTGAAATGAAGCTGAGGCCGAGGGCTTTATGTCCCAATCCCTGCAGCTAATAAATATAGTGAGCAATTGGTATTCATTGTTTAGGAGGTCCACCGTCCACGCCCCCGCTCCTTTGGGTGTGTCACTGTAGCCTTTCTTTCATTTCTCCTTCTTGATCTTAACTCCTTCCCATTTTTCCTTTCTCACTTTCCCAGGATCCAATTCTCTGCATATAGAGGTAGCTATGTTTGTCTTGTTGCTAGATGTTATTACTTTGGCGACTCATTTAAGGTCTGTGCTGTGCTAAGAAACGTTGGTCTCTTGAGAAAAACGTTAATGTCAAAGGTTACTATCGATAATTTTCAGTTTCCGACTTATTATCTCCCTCCCTTCCCAAATGCCTTTCTATAAAATAAGAACTATGAACCATGAGCGCTTATTATGGCAAATTAGCAACATTTATTCTTAAGCCACCCATCTCTCTCTCCATTCTCTATGGTTTTCCTCTTATTCTCGGCACCTTTCCGCTGAGATCTTTCCCTTTCCTTTCCGGCCGCCTCCTTCGACCCCCGTCCCGAAGGTTCCGGGCGCTTCCTCCTAGAGTTCGGGGGACGTGCGCACTGACGCAAGGCGCAGCCTGCTTCGGGCGCGCCGCTGCGGCTGACGGAAGGGGGCGGAAGAGTCGCTGCCGCCGCCGCCGCCGCCGCCGCCGCGGGAGCCCCAACATGGCGGCGGGGGGAGGGGGAGGAGGCGGCCGGGGGAGCAGCAGCGGAGCGAAGATGGGGGGCAGGACTGGGGGGACCGGAGGAGGAGGAGGAGGGGGCGCGGTGGCGGCGCCTGCTTCCGAAAAGCTTCCAGTCCACGTAAGTCTGAAGGGGGCGGGGGAGAGAAAGGGGGCGCCTCCCCATGGATTGACCTTTTATCTCTGCCTCACCTGTCCAGAACTTGGGGTTCCCCCTCCCTTCTGCTCTTTTCACAGTGGATGCTGGTGGGATGGGCTGCATGCAAACCCTGAGCCCCGTTGCATAAGGTTAGAGGACCTTCTTTCTCGCCAGCCCCGACCCCACTTCTCTTTGCATTGTCAATGTGAAAGGCAAGATGCATTGAAGCCCCGCTGCCTCCTTGCATCGCCTGCATTTTTTATTTCTTTCAAGGAGTATTTTCCTTACTTTGTGAGCTGTCAAGTAAAAAAAAAAGTTTTTTAAAAAGTGGGCTGGCACCTTTAATTTAAAATGGCTAAGTGCCACGTGTTTTGATGGTTTTCATTTTTATTTCATTTTTAATAGGTTGCTGTATTTGAACGGGCAGTGTACTACAATAGTTTGCTTCCTTTTTATTTTAACAGGGTTGGGGGTTCTGTTTCCTAATGATGTGAGCAATGTGTCTTTTTGTCACTGTAAACCCATACTGGAAGCTCCTTGGTGAAAAAGCTGATTTTGCACAGAACCCAAACCAAACACTAAATAAAGCATCAGAACTGCAATTGAATGTTCATATAAAAAATGCAGATTGCAAAATTGCAGCTGCAGAAGCAAAAAGCATGGCTAAATAATGGAAACTGACAAATAATCTGTTTTTCTTCAAAACATTCTTGGGCAGTAAAATCTTATGTGCGGATGCTGATTAATTTCTACAATCTCTGAATGCACCAAAAAAATGACAATGGCCAATTTAACATTCTGCTCTATTGCCTTGCGGTAAGTGAAAAATAGTCTTGAATTGGGGAGCAGTAAGGATAAACGTTGTGTTTATCCCGCTTCTGATTACCTAAACTCAGGCTGGTTTGTGAGACATGGTGCATCCATTTGCCTTTCCAAAACATAGATTGCTCCATCAATTCTGTTGTGGCTAATGCTGTATCATAGCATCTCATAAAATAGGGGTACAAGAGATGATCTCTGCACACCTTTCCCTATTTTCACATCAGGCGCATAGAACTACACAGCAGCTTCCACTTTTCATGAGAATACTCTTGTGGCATTTTCTGTCTTTTAAAACAACTCCTCTCTTCACAGTTCTGTCGAGGAAAAAATGGCTGAGATTCCCCTCCCATCCCCATAGCAGTGCTAGACAGCTCAGTGCTGTTCAGATGTTTGGCACTTCTGCTCTCAGCCACACTCAGATTTTCTTACCATTGTAACATCGGTTATAACACTGGCATAATTCATAAAGCATTCACACAGCGTAAATATCCCAATTGATTAAATGTAAAGACAATTATAACTATCCTCAGTATTCGTCTAAAGTCACAACACTAATTTGATTAAAAAGTGTAAGTTTACCTTAAACTTACAACCTAGCCAAAAATCCAGAAGGTTGAATAAATATTTCTTTTTTAACTGTAAAGGGAAGCAGGATAAATATAACGATTTGAGTGTTAACATGATAGAATACTTCTAATAGGAGAAAAAAAAGTGCATGTTTCTCTTCGGGGGCCTGTGCAATTATCAATCTGGTGCAGTATTTTTCTCATTATTACATCATAAAAGGGGCAAAATTTGATGTACTCCACCTATTCCTGGCCACAATAGCAAAATGTTGTACCACAGTGATTGCAGAATCTGTCCTTCTGGTTAGAAAGAGAACAGGCACTCTGAGGTACGGTTTAAAAATTTAAACTGGTGAGTCCCTTCCGTAATGTACACTGGAGAATACTGAGAACTTGTATGAAAAGAATCAACTATAGTGAGTGTCAAAGGATTAGGATAGTTACCATCTCATGCATCTGGAGAGCACCAAAATTTGTATCTCCACTCAGAAAGGGTGCTCATTGAGCCAGTTTTGAGTCCCAAGATTTTTTATGTTGAGCCCATCTTCTCTGGGAGTGACTTTAGACCATGTCCATGGGCACCTGTACATTTATGAATTGGCTTCTACTTGTCTCCTGTCTTATAAAACAAAAGTATTTGGCAGCAGAATTGGCTCTCTTTGTGATAATAAATAAAAGACTGGTTAATGGTAGGGGATATTGAGGCAGAGCAGTAGGCCATCTGGAAATACAAGAATAATTGTTTGATATATTGTCTGGTAGCCAAGAAAAAATAACCTTTTGCCATTGCCCATAAGGCAAACCAATTCCATGTGACAATGCACTTGGTGACCCATGCTCACTTTGTTAAATAAATAAATCATTTGTGATACGGTGCCTCATCCACAAAGTCCATTGCTGCACAAAAATTGCCTCATGCAGTGTTTTTTCCAGCATGCCCCGTCAGAAGCTAAATACAATCTCTCTGGCCTTTAGTATTGGCAAGGAAATCTAAATCCTTTCAAATCCATTTTGAATGCAAAATGGAGATTTTTCTGGCTATAAATTTTGGATGTTTCTGGGGCCTGAAAACTGGTGGCATTGTTTTGCTTTTTACATGTCTCTCAGCTCGGATTGGAACTAGTTTAGAAAGTAAAATTACCTGCTGTTCGTTACATTTCTTCCCTTTTTGGGTATTTGTGTGTGTGTGTGTGTGAGAGAGAGAGAGAGATCTTTCAATATCTCTTACGATTTCTTGCAGGTAGAAGATGCCCTCTCTTACCTGGATCAAGTGAAGATCCGTTTTGGTAGTGACCCCGCCACATATAACGGTTTCTTGGAAATCATGAAGGAGTTTAAGAGCCAGAGGTAACATGAACCGAGGAGAATCCATACCCTGCTTCCCTCCTTTGATTGATTTGACTAAGCATGAAACCCTCACTGAGCCTTGTGGGAGATTTCAGGAAGGAGAGGGAGCAAACACCATCTCTCCTAAATCCATTCTCCATTGCCTGATTTAAGCATCTACTTTTGTTCTTCATGTCTTGTTTTGGGTCCAGCATTGACACTCCAGGTGTCATCAGACGTGTTTCTCAGCTGTTCCACGAACACCCGGACCTCATCATCGGCTTCAACGCTTTCTTGCCCCTGGGTTACCGAATAGAGATTCCAAAGAACGGGAAGCTGAATGTCCAGTCACCTCTCACTGGCCAGGTACAAAGAGCTTTATTATGTTTTAAGTATTCCTATCCTGGTAGCGGCAGCTGACAGTTGAAGGCAGATGGATCTTCTCTCGCTTAGCTTTCCCAGCCTTTGTTTTTGATCCTTGGACCATTGTGGCAAGTGCTACTTTGATTCCGCCTCTCCCTGGGACCACAAGAGCACTCACAAACAGCGAAACCCTTCCTCTTCCCAGCAGAGCTACTTGCTTAGGTCCAGGAGACTTTGCAGGAGAGCACGGTAGCAGTCCAGCTTTCCTTGAAAAGAATACAAGTAGCACGAGAGAGCCAAAAAGAAGAACAGGCATAGAGGTCCGAGTATTGCAGTTGCTCTTCCTTTGGAGGGGTGAGGGCGATATTGGTGGTGCTACGCCAAGGGGTGTCCCAAAGGTGCTTTTTCAAAAGGCAACTGGAATTTCTGTGTTTTTCCTCGAAGACGTTTCACTTCTCATCCAAGAAGCTTCTTGGATGGGAAGCAAAACGTCTTCAAGGAAAAACAAAGTCCAGTTTCCTTTTGAAAAAAACACCTTTTTCATGACCTGGATGACCGAGAGTCTCCATAGACATTTATGCTAAAGGATCACTCAAGTATCGCCATCCAAAGTAGGTCTGCCCGTAACTGCAATGGGCAGAGCATCTGTTTTGCTTACCCAGGTTGGAAATGTTTCTATTTAAAAGGAATTTGGGAGGTGGGCCAGGGATAACGGCCTTTTTCTTCTTATGTCGCTGGAAAGCCTCTACAAATAATGTAATTGCTCATTCTAATATGAGGTTAATTGCAGTGAACCCAGGGACCTTCCTCGGATTTCATCTTACATCATCCAAGCTAGCTATGGTCAGTAAAGTCCAACATTATTGTTATCTCTGGAAAGATAGTTTCTTGCTTTGTGAATCCAAGCCGTTCAAGCATTTGCTTCCTATCGACTCCCTGCTGTGAGTCAGATACTGAGACAACAACATTCTGTCTGTGTGTGTTGAGGGACAACGGGTAGGGGTACTTGTAGGCCTCGCATCTACATTTACCAAGGGAATGACTCTTAGAATTTATTCTGAATTAATTAATTCCTCACACAGTGACTTGCATTTCCCCAGATATCCCTGGAGCCAGTTCAGAACCCTCTCTCTGGCAGCAGTCTGATGCTGCATTACTGCCAGGAGAACACCCACAACCATGGCGACTGCCCAGAGGATTTCCGCCAGCAGCAACAGCCCTGCAAGGATGATAAAGTTCAGATGCCCCTGGAATCCGATTCAGTGGAGTTCAACAATGCCATAAGTTATGTGAATAAAATCAAGACCCGGTTTCTTGACCACCCTGAAATCTATCGTTCCTTCTTGGAGATCCTTCACACATATCAGGTAAAGGAGGATGGGCCCCCCATGAGTCCAGAAAGCAGTAGTGAATAGTAGGTGGGGTCTGTCTGTCAGTTCTTATTGCACCTGACTAGGGTAAAATCAGATAGAGTACTTTTCTGGGAACCTAGCCACTGTCCTAAGTGTATTGTGTAGAAACCATTATAATGTTTGTTGTTTCGGCATATGTGATGGGAAGAGAGGAACTTTGTCCTTTGTTAACCTGTTCCCTGACTCCACTGGATGACATCGCCAGGGCCCGTTGCCTTGGCAGAGTGAGGAAAATTCTCAGGGATGACTCACACCCTGGTTGGTACCTTTTTACTCTTCCACCATCGGGTAGGAGATACAGAAACATAGCTAGCCGTACCAACAGGCTGAAGAACAGCTTTTATCCATGGGCTGTCAGGCTTCTGAATGGGACATAACTTTATAACTTTATGCATGACAGACTGGTGAGGCTGGCGTGATGTGCAATTAGTTCACAGGGTGAAAAAAGTTGGGGGTTTGTAGTCACCGTCAGTTTGTGGTGAGAGGGGGGGCACAGAGGGAGGCTCAGCCAATTTCAGTGTATACATGTTATACTTTGATAAGAAAGGGTTTATTATTATTAGGAATGAGCGTAAGTTAGCCCAGACAAGAGATTGATGCTATTCTAGATTGATGCTGGTTTTGCTTCAAATAGGTACAACTAGCGTAACATTTCACAACAGAGAGAGCTTGATGTTGCTTTCTGGGCTAGAAACTAGTCCTCCCTTAGGCCTGAAAATTGCTGAGTGATCTTAAGCCGGTCATTTTCTCACAGGGCCAGTCCACCTTACAGGGTCATCGTTGTTGGGGGGAAATAGGAGGAAGTGTTATGTACGTGGCCTTGAGTTATACAAAATAAAAGTGGGATATAAATCTAATGAATAAAAACATTTTGTTAACTTGCAGAAGGAGCAGCTAAGCACAAAAGGCCGCCCCTTTCGAGGCATGTCGGAAGAGGAGGTCTTCACTGAAGTGGCAAATCTTTTCAGGGGCCAGGAAGATCTTCTGTCTGAGTTTGGACAGTTCCTTCCGGAGGCAAAGAGGTCTTTGGTATGTCTTTGCTAAATCTTTGGTGTGGCCATTGTGAGGAGGCGGGCTGTCAAATGTGGAGGCTGAGCAGGAGGGGTGTGAAGAAGAGCTACTTTCTTGGTTGGGTGGAAAATTCTGGCTTATTTCCTCTACAGACTGAAGGACAGCATGTATCATTCATTAGCAGATGGATGCAGCCTCAAACCTCTGGAGAGTCAAATGGCCCCCCAGTCACCCCACAGAGAAAATGCCATTTGTTTGGCAGCTAGTCCATCCCTTGGACAAGAATAAGAACAGTCCCTTCCCTGGGTGGTGACAAGCGATTCATAGCAGCCCGTTCCCCAATTCTGACTTGAGATGCCTTTCAACAGTTTGTTAAAGGCAGCCAAATCTTCCTCCCTGCCCATTCATTTATTATTATCTTAATTTACATAGCTCCCCCACCAGTCAAACGCAACTCTGGACAGCTAGCAAACTTTAAAAACAGTGCAAACTGAATAATAAACATTAACAAACAAAGACCAGTAAACAAACAGTAACCAACATCTTTCCCTTTTGGTTTAGTTTACAGGGAATGGGCCATGTGATGCCAACAGTATCCCCAAAATGGATCATGAGAAACATCTGGAAAACAGTAAGAAGCGGTCCAGGTCTCTGTTGCTCCGTCCTGGGCCCAGCCCAGCCAAGGTATCTGAACCAAATGCAGAGCTGGGGGAAAGGGCAAGAGTGGTTTTGAAGGCTGTGGAGTTTAGGTGACCCATCTAGCTGAAACTGGCTGATTAGTTCTGTCCTTGAGAAGAAAAGGAGGTATTTCCATCAAAAAAGGGCTGAACTCATGAAATGTTCCACATATTTAACTATGCTGGCCTGTTAAGTAAAACCAGCCAACTGTAGAATTAATAAAGGAGAATATTTACTAACACTGAGACTGATGGTGTTATCTAGTTTGGGTAGTGAAACGTCTGCAAGAAAACAACCAATCCTAGAGCACCAAGGACCCCTCAACTGTAGCATTGTTTAAAGATGGGCAGGTTGTTTCTCACAAAAGCTTTTCTGACATATTTAATTTGAAAGAGGGAGAGGAGGAGGAGAGAGTCTCCAGTCCCCCCAAACTTTTCACCCCAATAAATCTGTCCTACATTAGGATTTTTCTATAAACGGTACTATCACAGTTATAATACCTTTTACTACCGGCAGTAGGTTCTCTATGATTCGACAAAATGTACTTTTCAGCTACATTTCTGAGCTTTACAGAAAAATAATCTCGTAGGAGGAAAGCTAATTATGAACTGAAAAACTTTCTCAACCTCGGTACTTTTAACGTGTCTAGACCTAAGTCACCAGCTTACTGGGTGGGGAATTCTGGCAGCTGGAAGTCCACACATCTTAAAAGTTGCAGAAGTTGTTGGGAAACATTGGTCTAAATCCATTTTTACCAGTTCCACTTTTATGTAGGTGTGACTGGGTGGAGTAGCAGAAGCCTATGACGGACAGTGCTACTCTTTTGCTTTTTAGGGAATGCAAATGTTAGCCAGTTACTAAGAACAGGTAGTCCTTGACTTACAACACTTACAACTTTGCTTAGTGACCATTCAAAGTTACAAAGGCACTGAAAATAGTGACTTACGACCATTTTTCACACTTAAGACGGTTGCAGCATCCCCAGGGTCACACGATCAAAATTCAGATGCTTGGCAACTGGTTCCCATTTATGGCGGTTGCAGCGTCCCGTGATCCCCTTCTGCAGCCTTCTGACAAGCAAAATCAACGAGGAACCCAGATTCACTTAACATCCTTGTTACCAACTTAACAGCTGCAGAAATTCACTTAACGACTGTGGCAAGGGAGGTCGTAAAATGGGGCAAAACTCATTTAGCGAATGTCTCACTTAACGACAGAAATTTGTTGCGGGCATAAGTTGAGGACTACCTGTATTTCCTTTGGGGTCTTAATGTCAGGAAAAGTCAAAACATTTAAAGAGCTGCTTCTAAGTGCTAGGCTTCTAAACTGTTCCTGCTTGTAAAATGCTCCCGACAGAAAAAGATGAAGCTGCGTGGGACCAAGGACCTCTCCGTCGCGACCGTGGGCAAATACGGCACTTTGCAGGAGTTTTCTTTCTTTGACAAGGTCTGTTTATTTCTGGTGGGAACAGAGCTGTAGTTCACGAACCAAGACTTACCCTTGCAGTGCAAAAGGAGTCCTGGGTGGCTGGTGGAGGAAAAGCCCCCCTAAAACTCATAGCAAACTGCACTAACTCGATTAAAGCAGTTTCCCAGGTTGTACTGCCAGATTACAATCTGTCTGAGTGAGGCCGCTCAGCTCTTCCCGCAAGAGCTGAAATGGCCGTTTCGGTGTCAGCTGGTGCCTGGCAAACAGAAGGTGCCATTTTCCTCTCTGACTCTTTTGCTAGGTACGCCGAGTCCTCAAGAGCCAAGAAGTCTACGAGAACTTCCTCCGCTGCATTGCTCTCTTCAACCAAGAGCTGGTCTCTGGCTCTGAGTTGCTTCAGCTGATCACACCCTTTTTGGGGTAAGAAAGACTAATGTTAAATTTGGAGCTTTGTTTCTTTAGACTAGGGGTGGACAACTATGGCAACTTTATGACCTGTGGACTTCAGCTCCCAGAATTCAGTTCCCATGCTGACTCAGGAATTCTGGGAGTTGAAGTCCACCAGTCATAAAGTTGCCCTAGTTGCCCAGCCCTGCTTTTAGGCTGTTGAGAGAGACTGTGTCTCCCAAATAATCTCTTCCTGACAGTGTGGAGGAGTATTTTTGTCAAATTATTAATATGCACGAGACGACAGTCTCACACTGAGAATTGTTGCAGTTAATTCACTGGAATAAATAGTTATGGACTCAGTGGATCCCATGATTTTTAAACAATAAAGCAGTATATTGTGCCGTTGACAGCAGCATCATTGCAATTGTTATGTAACTTTGAGAATGCAGTAATCATTTTACAGATTTTGCCACCAAAGCGCAGGCGACTCAACAAATTGCACACAGTTGCCACAGTTGTATAAAGCGGTTAAGTGAAATGCTTCATGGTTACAGCTTTCTCTTGTTTTAACAGATCTAGGAGAAATGGGCAGTTTTAGAGCATGAACCCCTTAGCTCCATATTTCCATCCCTCCTAGAAAACCCCAAGGCAGCCGAGTTGACATTTCAGTGACGCTTTTTTTATATTTTAAGGACAAGATAAAATCGTTAAGGAGATAAACATTCAACCATGCCCTTTTCAGTGATATTACAGTCCATTCAAAGAAAAATTGATGATGATGATGATGATAAAGTAAATTATCTCCTGAAGAAAGATGGTTGTCTGCGCTCATCTTAGAGAAATGACATCTGCTGTTTATCTTCTTCTAGTCGTGATTAGTGCTGAAAGGCAGGCTGTTACTTTTCAGCGTGCTCTTCCTCAAAAAAGGTTCTATTACCTCTTTAAACCTGTCAGTTTCTAGCCTATATTTGCTTGTTTGTTTGAAGGAAATTCCCCGAACTCTTTGCTCAGTTCAAGTCATTCCTGGGAGTGAAGGAGCTGTCTTTTGCCTCCCCAATGAGTGATCGCTCCGGGGATGGGATGTGCCGGGAAATTGACTATGCTTCCTGCAAGCGTATCGGTTCCAGCTACAGAGCCCTCCCCAAGACTTACCAGCAACCCAAATGCAGTGGCAGGACAGCTATTTGCAAGGAGGTAGGTAGTGCTTACAATCTCTTGTAGAGAGGAGAGTAGAAGGCAAAGGGGATTCATCAGACACTGGAGAACAGGACCCCGTAGGAAGATGCTCAAAAGATCCGACTGATTTAGTGTGTGTTTTAAATTCTACAGGTGCTAAATGACACCTGGGTCTCCTTCCCATCTTGGTCCGAAGACTCAACCTTTGTCAGCTCAAAGAAAACTCCTTATGAGGAGCAGCTACATCGGTGTGAAGATGAACGCTTCGAGGTGCGTCTCCTTCATCTGATAGTTGTTAACTGTGTCCTTTTGGTCAGAAACTGAGCATAGAAAGTCCCATGTCTGATCCCCAGCTGGAATGCTACTGCTGGTAGGAGCTGCCAGTGACTGGGTTCATACCAAGCTATGATTCTATTAATTGTGGTTTGTGCAGTAAAACATAATTGGATCAGCTCAGGCTTTGCAGCAAGTGATAAACCAGAATCTAACATCCACCAGCAGTTCATACTTCATTCTCAGTCAGAACCATACAAAACACATTATGATTTAGTATGAAATATTATGGGTGCTCCAGCACTGAAGGCTTTCAAGAAAAGATTGGACAGTCATTTGTCCATGATGGAATAAGATCTCCTGCCTTGGGTAGGGGGGTTGGACTAAAAGACCTCCAAGGTCCCTTCCAGCCCTATGATTCTGTAATAGGTGAACCTTGCTAAGTTTTTGGTCTGAAAGCTGGGAATGGATGTAAGACTGATTAACAGTAATCAGAGTTTAAATACTGTGTTTCTATTTTTCTTTTTTTATCTATGGACAGTTTTTCTGGACCAGAAGAGACATTTTTAGTCAATGTCCTCTTCTGTGTTTTCCTAGCATGTTCTGTGGAAGGAAGCTCTGCTTCAGAATTAGCTTTATAGAGTTGCCATATCCTACTTAACTGAAAGACTCTAAAAGATTCGTCATTTCTTATCATTTCGCAGATTATAGTATCAACTTAGTAAAGCGAATGCATCCACAAAGTTGGTTACTCAGATGGAAACTACCATAGCAGCCCTCCCTTTCCGCTCAAGGAAGTTAATTGTTATACAAGTAGTCCTTATGACCAGAATTGAGCTCAAAATTTCCGTTATTAAGCAAGGCATCGGACCTGGTTACATTCGAGACCGCCTCCTGCCACAGATTTCCCCCCACCGACCTGTACGCTCTCATAGAGTGGGTTTCCTCAGGGTGCCGTCGGCCAGACAGTGCCGGCTGGCGACCCCAAGGGGGAGGGCCTTCTCTGTGGGAGCCCCCACCCTCTGGAACGAACTGCCCCCAGAGATCAGGGTGATCCCTGATCTCCCTTCCTTCCGCCGCGCCCTCAAGACGTGGCTGTTCCAACTAGCGGGACTGGCCTGAGGGATTTTAAAGGGGGTTTT